TGCTAGAATAAAAAAGAAGATAGGACAGACTTGCAGATAAAGAACACAGTCACTGTCCTGATTCAAAAAAGCACCTTGAATACTATGCTCTGAAAGAGCTGTGCTGTACAGCGAGACATACAGGTTGCCTGTATGTGCTTGCAGAAAACAAACCAGTAAGATAAGCTGCGAATATAGAGGAAAATATTTTAATTTGGTCTTGAGATGTATGATATTGATCAACAGCCAAAAAAATAATCCATAAATCAGTGAAAAAACTAGAACAGTCACAGTCACAAGGACGTCATGGAAATAACACAAACCCAGCAGGACACCCTGGACACTGAAATTCTCTTTGCCTCCTCACAGGTGGAAGTGGGTGGGTGTCTCACTGAGGAAAGGCAAGGTGAATGCTCATCTGTGCGCCATCCTTAAATCAAACTCCATTGTCACACTCAACCTGTGTAAGGTTGTATAGATGTTTGCAATGGGACCACTCCTCTTCTTTGATGGTAATCTCTTCAGCAGCTGTGATCTGTTACTTATCATCCAGGCCACAGAGAAGCTCAGAGGTAAATTTAGGAGTACAAAACAACATCATCCCAAAACTTGTAGTCTTAAAAATGAAAATGAAAAGATAAGCTAGCAGTTTCTATTGTTATTCTGACTACTCACATTCTATAAACGTGTTCCTGTTTTTACTGGGGACTTTCCTGATTCTGGAAGGAGGTAAAAGTTAGGGCATGTGCACTAGCTACCCTACTGCTTTTTCCCGATCTTTAAAGAATCAAAGGTGTGACTGTCCCACTCTACCTTCCTCTGGGACGTTCACCCATTTCTGGAAAATGACCGTTGTCGTGTTGCCTCGTACTCTTGGTCTTTTTGTCTCCTTTCATTCCTGTGTCTGTCTTTCTTACTGCACTTCCTGAGACTTTTTCAGCTGTAGAAGACATAACGTGAACTTAGACTGCTTCAGCAATATTTTTCACCTCAGTTACTATATGAAAGTGGCAGCTTTTGTGTTAAGCTTAGGTTAATCCTTATATCCTAGGGAAATGACACCTGTGCACAAGAACTTTCTCAGGTTCCTTCCTGAACTGATTGTCTTTAGAGCTTGATTAAAATAATGCAGGCGGTGCCAGCTGTGCTGGGCACACAAGGGCTCTGTTGTTCATCTTTGAATTAGTCACCCTCATGTGGTGCATAAGCTCGCTGTACAAATACACACCACTTAGATGAAGGCACCAATATTTAGTAATCTTACATTGCAGTATTACAAGATAGCTAATAGGCATAACTAAGCAAAAGTATGTAATTGTGATCAGTCCTTAAAAACCTAGCTAACCCAGTAACTCCAGCTGGTTTTATTGTATTTAATAGCCCTAGGATGCATGTAGTAAGTATGTTAGCTTTTGTACTTCATTTTGTTGAGTTGACTCATTGACAATCTGATTTATCTGCAAACTAGATATCAATATTCTCATACGGTCATGTATCATAGAACCAGTATTTTTTTAAAATATGATTCTTATTTTATGTTTCTAATGTCAAAGTGACTAAGCTACTGGTCATTCTGCTAACATAAACGGCAATAATAAATATAGTAATGTGTTTCTGCTATTAAGTTCAGAAAATTGTGAGTGTGTAAAGAGATAAACATATTTGAGAATACTTTTGGCAGCTTTTATGAAATGTAATTAAGATTCTGATAGACAGTTTATGTTGTAGAACTGTAAAATGACCTTGACATAGTGTGGAAATATATTAAGT